AAGTATTTTATTGCATAAGAGTATCACCTCTCTTCAAAGACGTTAATCAAATTATGATGAGCCTTTCAGCTTTCCTTATTCCGGTCCTCGTATGAACCACGTTTCTGTACTAATTGTAAGTTATAACATACCACATTAAAGAAATTAAAAGGAACGTTCACGAGGGTAATTTGAAATTACAATGCAAAGAAACATTTCGTACTCTTTAAAATGAAAATTGTTTAAACAAACATTAAAGGGTCTGCGATATTTCACGTGCACCTTTAAACCTGACAATTTATCTGTAGGTATTTATTTCACTTATCATGGAAGCGTATAAGGATTTCGTATATCTGTAAATCTTTTCTCGTGTAATAAGCTTTCGCACTCGCGCGCACCTTTACCTATTTTTCCCGGAGCGCGAATATTATAATCGAATTCCGCTACGGATGTAATGGGTGGATTTTGCGTGACTTGTCGATCGTTCTGTATCGCCCTTCGCGTCCGGGGGATGAATACGAATGGCGAGTCAACGGGGCGTACCTGTTGGTAAGCAGAAGCGCAATATGGAATATCGAATGCACTGACTCGGCTGTCTCGGCCAGACATCCCCGTAGTTCGGCCACCGGATGCATCAAATGCACCAAATGCAGCGTGATAACGTCACTCACAGGACGTAGGGTCGGTAATTCGGCAACGACGTGAAAGGGGCGACACCGGGGCGAGGGAGGGACGGTAGGGGATAGTTCCATCCCGCAAACGCTCAATCTGTCGCGAGTAATTTTCGAAATTGGCCTTCCAGGACGCGACGGTTGACTCGACGCTCGTAAAAATTCGAGAGAGACAGAGAGGGAGAACGAGGTGGGAGAGGAGGGTTGTGCGCTCGGGATGAATAATCGTTTCGACGGATGAAATACGGCGCGCTCCTCCGGAGAGATCCGATGTGTACCGACGAATAATACCCGCTTTGCGAAGGGCGCATTGAGATTTGTACGGCACAAGTTTTTAGAGAGCTCCGCGCCGTCGGGAGACACTCCGTACCCTCCGCAAACTCCGCGACTGATGTTTGAATTCCCGGAGAACTCCGCTATTCTTCGGAACTTGAAATTCATAGACCCGGGGACTCTATAGAATTTGTTACCGCGGAGATACGTGTCTGACGGGCGCGACTCCCTTCGAGATGATCCCCTGCACCCCGGCGACGCGATCGGCGCGGCTGCGCCGTATCTCCCGCCAAGTTTGACACCGTTTTTTTGCCCCGGGCCACTTATCCGCGCTCCATCATTCACGGTCACACGTCTGCACGGGGTGTACACCCCATACGGGGCTCCGTCGTCCCGTTGATTACCGCGAGTGTTCGGATGTTGACACTGCGAATGGTCGATACTCATCCTATCCTCGGCTTTTGCCGCGGAGACTTGTTTGCGGCGAGGGCCGTGCCGGGAAGCTCGCCGCAGAGCTTAACCGGAAGTCGGACTACGGGAACAACGGGGACGCTACGCCTCGCCTTTTCGACCTCCCGCTGATCCTGGACAGCGATCAGCCGGGGATCCCTTTAGTTTCGGATCCCGCGACGATGGTCGTAATTTGAAATTGCTCAACTGCTCGTGGATAGATATAAATAGACCTTACGTATCGCGCGAATGACGCATAGATGCGCATTATGATTTTCGAGAGAGAATTAAAATAATTTTATGTCAATTTCATTCGCGTGTCATTTTGTACGAGCAATGCAATTACATGTTCCAATTCATGGCGCCAAACAGAGCCAACGCGCGCGTGATTTATCGTACATTCTACGATTAATAATTCCCGAGACATTAAGCGGGTTGATTAAATCGTTCTACATACATTTTTTAAGATCCTGCTTGAAAAGGACTTGAAGTAAAGGTCGAAACGTCGCACTATTAATTTATATTAAATTTCGACCGATTAAGGCCGACATAAACTTCTTTATTAAATCGTTCTATTTCGAGCATTGAAATTTTTGCGAAAGTTATAACAACAGCCGGGAGGATTTCGTCGACTGCTTCACGGTTGAGATCAGAGGCTCCTTTGTTACCACTTTTTAGTTTCTCCGCGAAGGAGGCATCCCAAAGGGCGCCGCGCAACGCTCCCGCCCAGGGAGCCCTTTTATTGACGGTGATAAACATTTTTATGAACCCCACGCGAATTACTACTTTTTATAACTCTGTCGCTCGATCTGTCGCTTTCTCCAATCCCTAGCGTTTCCTCCCTCGATATCCTCGGAAAGTTTTTCCCCCCTTTAAGGAAATTCAACATCGCGAAAGCTCGGCGTAGCCCCCGGACTCCGAGAGCTCTGACTTAGAGCCTTTGAGAACGCGAGATTTTTCCCGATTTAAATATTTTGCGGGGTCATAAGCCAAAAATTAAAGATAGGAATGAAAGAATCAACTGCTGAATACATTTGATATCACGATTTTCATCTTCCTGAAGCTTCGGCGCCTCCTTAGCACGTTGAAATCTCGATTCTTAAAACTTTGCTCTTTTAAATCCATCTGAAAGTAAAGTGAAGACTTAGGGCTCCTCGCAAAAAGTCTCCTTACAAAGCAGCATCCTTACGTAAGATAAAACAATTTAGTCGCGATAGTTTTTGAGATCGCGCGGAACAGCGATCTAAAAGAAAGCGTACTTTATTTATTTCAACCAACGCGTCGGCGCAGCGACAATGTGCCCGGCGTAAAACAAATGAATTCCATTTAATTCAACTTCATGACATGTAAATCCTCGGTTTCCGGGATCCTTGGATCTCGGGTAGGATTATACTCTGCCGCTCGTAGTCCGGACTGGCGCGCACGGGCCGCGCGCGTTCCATATAATTGCGCTATAATAGCCATCGCAGATGTCGGCTCGTTAAATTGTTAATACGTCGGGGGACCGGCCCGGAAATTCCCCGTAGTTAATTCCGCAGCCTTCTGCCTCCACAAGCGGGGAAGTTTAAAGAAGTTTCGCTCGATCATTTGCTCATCAGAGATTAATAACGTCCACCGGACACACCCCGTCCCCCGTTGTCTCCCGATCGACGGATTATCGGCGATTCTCTCGCTAATCCCGCCTCTTATCCGCGCGACGGTGAAGTTTGAGGATTTTCGGCAATCCCGTAACGAGCCCGCGTGACTTTTTATCGCGAGGTTCCTCCCCGTCAACTTTCGCCAGATCCCTGGCTTCCTCCTCGGTTAATCTTGATCCCTTAAAATTCCGCGTTTTCGCCGTCGTGTTTGCGCATTGAGTTTCCGGAAATTTCAGAATTTCAGAATCGGAGAAGAGCTACACGGATGACAGCAGACGAGGTTCAACGACCTGAGATCCTGGGATAGACAATGCGAGGGGGATCCGGGAAAGGAAAATGTAGACAGCCTCATCTTGTCACTCACCGGTATCTCGGGATCTGAGAGAAGGATGCTGGATAAGGACGGGCAAAAGTTTGCAAGGATATTGTGTTGTATAAATAGTGTGTTACATCTCGGGACGCTTTCACATGTAAATTAGCGATACGCATATATAGAAACCGCGATGGTTATCGATATGTGCACTGCGATATCTGTCACTGCGTACACGCCAGTGTGGGCGGGCGATTAATTAAATAAACGATGTAGACATCGGCGTTGAATTAAACTAATTATATGATAAATATGACTTTTCTCCTTCCCTGTTTTCGCCGGAATTATTTAACGCATATTGGAAATCCACGATAGCGTGCCAATTACACGGGGATACGTGGGCCGGGCCAAAATTTGCGCTTGATATAGAGCGGCATTAAACCAGCAAAAATAGCTGCTTAATATCCAGAATATTAAGCATCTCTGCGTGCATTTTAATTATTTCAAGTCAGCCGAAATTAATGCGAGTGAAAATGACGAGATGTTATTCCCGTTATTTATTTCAAAGTCATTTCATTATACGGAAGTTTTCATTTTAATATTTCAAGCAAAATCACTGTCTCCGTTAATTCGAAAGATCTGCTCTAGATGCAAGAAGTGCAGAATTACTCCAGCATCCCCTTAAGAGTCAATAATCGACGGCGATTAGAGAGTAAATCAAAGTAAGCGGGGGTTTCCCGGGGATTGAACGCGTCCGTATCGGCGTATTCAGATACGGACGGCGCTAACTTGCGACGCGCGCGTTCTCGCGCGAGGGAAGTTTCGTCGCGCGGCCATTAATAATAATAAACGTCGCGACATCGATAATAACGCGTCATAACGGCGCTCCGCCGAACTCGAGGACAGGTCCGGGAGGGGCAGGAGGGGAATGGAAAGAGGGGCAGACTCCCCGGGGCACATACGTCTTCGCTTACGTTCAACGCGTTATTTTATTACACCGCCCTAAATTTGCTCCGGAGTCGCGTTCAGTCTACTTCGAAATTTCGCTCTCTCACGGCAATCCGCGTGACGCTGTTGCCGATACTTTCTTTTACTACTTTCTGAAATTAGCTCCCTAAAATCGAAGTGCCACACTTAAATGCCAAGACGTTTTCAGCTTTTAGTATGACTGGAATTAAATTATTTTCAGACGCGAGCAAAACGCACAACGAGAAATATATCTACGCGTTGGAATGCATTAATTCTTTCGGAATTGGAAATTGTAGTTAATTCTTGAGAAATCAGACACGTAAAATTGCACTTTCGGGGCGCCGCCTTATCTCCATGAAAGCACGTCTTACTCCGGTCTGTCCCCGCAAGATACGCGAGGTCGAAAAACCAAATTGAGTAAAAACCAAATTGATCTAAAATTTTCGCCGCGGCGGGGAGCAACCCCACGCTTGAATAATCGTCGTAAAAAATCGCGACGATACGGACACGCGGCGGGACGCACACCCTCTTGGCTCAGTCACGCTCGCCCACCCCGGCGCCGCTTCCGCCCTCTTCCGCTGCCGTCGCGACGCTCGCCGCCCCTCGCCCGGCGGAGGCGCACGTTTACAAAGGGCCAGTACGCCTCCAGCCGCCGTGCGGATCGAACGCGACGACGGCACCGGTCCGCTCCTTCTCGCGTACGCGCCTCTCGCTGAATCTCGCAGAGCGGGGACCGACTTGACGGATCGGCGGGGAATCTCGCGCGCAAACCACGCCATGGCTGGCCGAGGATCGGGCATCGTCCTCGCGGTATCCTTGCCAGACACGTGCGCGGTGGTGCGCGTGTGCCACTCGCAGTGAGGCCCGACAGCGACTGGATCCTCCCTGCGAGGGCGCGCGCTCTCACGATTACGAGCGAGGATAACGAGCATCGTGGGCTGTTGACGTCGTTAGGGCCGAGTTGAGCAACGAGAGGCGCGAGGTATCCTCGTATCGTGTCCTCGGAGGTGGGTTCGAATTCTCGGAGCACACATGCACACACCCGCACACGCACACGCACACGCACACGCACACGCACACGCACACGCACACGCACACACACGCGCGCGCACACACACACACACACACACACACTCTCTCTCTCTCTCATCGCGTATATATAACGATATAATTGATAATTGTAAATGTGGATTAACGTTGACATCGTTAACATTGAGAAATGATTGCATTCGTCCCACCCTCCAGGACTACGTTCCTAATCCCTGGATTCTTCGTCAACCGCGACGTGCTCGGCTCGCGACGATATCCCGGTAATTCCTTGCCACGGTAACTCGCGGTGTCCAGCAAGTCCGATCATAAAGAATAATCCGATTGTTAATGCGAGTCGTTAGTATCGCGCGCTGCGTTAAGGGAAGGGGGGGGGGGGTGGCAATTTTCGAAGGGAGTTTCGCGACCGGGTTCGCCTCGAACTGCACGATTATAATTTTCCCATTTGCGTTCTGAGGCGGAAGGACTTGGTCGCTTTAGGCACTCGACTCGTTTCCCTTAAATATTAGCCGATCGTCCGACTCTACGTCGAGCTGCATCCCTCAGTTTCTCTCAAATATTTGCCAGCTGCTCGCAGTTTTCGGGGCGTACCTTTGGATTTATCCACAGCTCTTTTTCCCCGAGACGCTTAATCCCGCAACGATCGGCCGATTCCGCTCTTCACGTTTTCAATTCTTTCCCCGACAACTGGAGATTATAAAATATATACTTTTTAGTTTCGTTTGGAGATTGCGTTATTGTTTTAGTCCCTGAAACCGCGAAAGCTTGGCTATTACTTTCGTAATAACTAAATGTAAAAATAATATACTAGGATTTACTTTTTCGAATATTGAATTCTTTAACGCTTTAGAAATTTGACCGGCCAAATTTGCGGAATATTACATTTCAAAGCTATTAGATGATTAACGCGTCTGTGGGTGTTCCTGACATCCTCGTAACAGTTTCCATTATTATACGCCGACGCGAAACATTTTCATGCAAAGCATCGAGGAATTATTTGGGTCTTTGGGACTTCGGGTTCTCAAATACTTAACCCGACAGCTCGGTTTACGCCGTTTCGTCGATATTAAAATGTCGATTCTCCATGCTTTGATGTCTCAATCACTGCGTCCTTGTATTTCCTCTACTTTATACATTGTTGGATATTATTCAACGTTATGATTAAACAGGTCTTCTTACATCTCGCATATTCGCGTCGTCAGACGCCGACACCCTTAGACACGGATACATTAGGAAGCTCGGATTTTCCCGCATAATCTCGGGGGTCGGAACATCCCTCCCCCTGGTCCGCGCCGCCATTCACCACGACCCTATGGCTCTGTCCAGGATTTGGGACGAGCGGTCGCTCGTGACAGTAGAAAAATATCGCGCACGGCGCTCTCCGCTTTTTCCACTCGGAGGGTCGGGAGGGATGGCCGTCTGACACTGACACGTCGGTAATGACTTCAAAGGGACGCACAGGGGCGGCCTCTGAATTACGTCGGATGCGCCGCCGAACCGCACGCGAGCATTTTCAATCCCGGCTCGCGGCGCTCTATCGGGCTTTAAATATTTCCGCGACGTGGCGCACCTTCCACAACGCCCGCAATTATTATATGGAACGTAATGTGCTATTCATTAATGCCTGGACCTCGGTTTTACTAGGGATCACATTTTCATTATTCTTATCTATACATCGATGAGTTTCAGACTGTAGTACGCACAAGACTTCCATAGAAGTCTGTGGTAGTACAATACATACATACGCCTGAAACTCTACAACGCCCGCAATTATTATACGGAACGTACAGTGCTATTCATTAATGGACCTCAGTTTTACTAGGATTCATTTTTACTATCTTTTTTATTATCTTTATTCCCATCTATACATCGATGAGTTTCAGGCTGTAGTACACACATACTTCTGCAGAAGTGTGTGGTGGTATATACATACAGCCTGAAACTCAGTGATTTGTATAGATGGAAAAAATGATGATAAAAATGCAGGTCCAGGCATTAATGAATAGCACTGTACATACACTGAAAAAAATTTCTGGTTGAATATGGACGAATCAGATAATTCCTTTAGGATTTACCAGAATTTCTGTAGGATTACAGGAATTCTGGTAAATCCTAAAGGAATTCTGATAAATCCTAAAGGAATTATCTGATTCGTCCATATTCAACCAGAAATTTTTTTCAGTGTACACATAACGTCATTAATGCCCACCTGTCTGAAGTTGCACGCAGATGGGGGCACGTTTGAAAAGCGTGCGACTTTCTGACTCTTCATGCATCCATGACATTGAAACCGGCAATACTGATTCGCTGTTTCCATAGTCATGATGCACGAGGAGTTAGATGGTCGCACGCTTTTAAAAAATGCCTCGCGATCCGCGTGCAACTTCAGATGGGTGGGCATTAATGACGCCGTGTGTACAGTGATGGACAGAATGGTGGCGACACTCTTTTCTTTAGTGAGTTTAGAAACGCGCTTTTAGATTCAGGTTCCAAAATATTTTCTCTGAGGAACATTTTACTTGAGAAATAGATCGAAAACGCTCGAAATGGTTTCGGAATGGCCACCGAGTAAAATACTCCTCGGCAAAGATTTTCGACCGTAAAAAATGTGTCGCAACCATTCTGCCCATCACTGTACAGCGTTTCGCAAACCGATGCCGTTAAACAGCGGGCGTTTGTCCGCGATACAAACGTAACTCCCCCCCCCCCCCTCCTCTGCATTGCGCATTCCCGTTCCCATATAAATATATTCCATCATAAAAAATTTGTCGTGCACACGCGCGGTAAAAATGTACATTACGCGGGCGATATATCCGCCGCGCCGTGGCTTTTAAAAACTGCGTGCCCCTCGAAAACGTTAAAACATTCGTCCACCGCGAAATCGTTCTAATGCAAGGTAAATATTTTCTCGCGCGACGGGAATTGTTTTGCGCGAAGCAAATATTTTTCCGCGCGACGCAATCGTTTTAAATTGCATTCTTCTCTCTCTCTCTCTCTCTCTCTCTCTCTCTCTCTCTCTCTCTCTCTCTCTCCCCCTCTCTGTCCCTTTCTCTTGTTCGTTCCACTTCTGCTCTCCCTCCCG